TATTTCTCTATAGATTGGCTCTAACACCCATTTTGCACAGAGAGGCATTTTTTGAAAAATGTATTGATAGCAATGTTGAATATTATTACATATGAAAAAAAAACAACTACACGTAAAATAATCACACCATGATGCCTCTGCCTTTGTAAATGGAGAGACAGTAAGGTTGGGGAAACATGCAGTCCACTGAGACCGAAGAAGTCACTTGGATGAGTGACAAAATGTTTCTCCCACTAAAAACGCTACGTCCAGATGAACAGAACGCCAACTCCAACTACTGTTGACACAAGTTAATAGTGATTATGAGAAAACGGGGCTTCTTGAATGTGGACTGGCACTGGGTTTATGTTTAGGTTACAAGCAGCTACTATTAGTTCTCCTAACCCTAAATTAAGTCAATACTACTAAAGAGTTAATAGCAGACTATAAGCATAAGGGGCGTAAGGAGCATTTGACCTAGAGAGGATTCATACAGAGGCTAAACACAGCAGCCACAGATTGTCAGTTTGAAGCAGATGGATCTGCTCTACTAGAACATGAATAGAGCCCCCCACTCCACCCCCGACAGATTTCCTGACACCTGCTTGGCTGAGACCTAGCAATGGATCATTATGATGGCCAATGAGGTACATCAACACCGACTTGGATGGCCCCACATGAGGACTTTTAGTGTTAGTTGCATACAGCTAATTTGAGGAGATGTTTCCTTGCTTTGCCTCATCTGGATGTGACTGAACCATAAAGGTAAAAAATGACATGTCATTAATCAAACATTGAGACTTTTTTTTCTAACTTAGAAAACTAAGTAGGTTAGACTAGACTGATGGAGCAAAAGCAGCGAATTAAAGAAAAATATATCCACTCCTTGGCAAATACACTCTCACTATTCTAAAAAGAGTTCTCTCTGAAAACAGTGTTCTGTCATAAATACCTCTTTGAAGGGGCCGCAGTGACTGTACTCAGCCCGGTGATACTTCAGCCTCATATTTCACTTCAATTTGACACAGACTCCAATGATCTGCTTGACCTATTTCTGTAACCCTGGGGTTCAAAACAATGGAAGGAATGGATATGGATGGAGAGGTTATCAATGTTGCCACTACAGTTAAACTAGGCCAAGCTGAGAAAGTTGAAAGAGCTGAAGGAAATAAGACAGAACAGTGCATATTAAGAAAATTATCTCTGAGCTGAGAGCAACAGCATTTGTGATCCATTCTTCATTTGGACTCCCATGTCCAGTGAACCAATATGCATTTCTGTCATGGTCTCTGAAGTCCAAGCCTTGTCTGTTCTCATTGACATGAGCTGATAATGGGGGCATGGTTGGAGCTGATTTATAGCGATGCTGGGCAGATTGCTGTGACAGAATTCCAGAGGTTGTGCCCTGTTATACAAAGAGTTGTAATGAGTGGCCTGTTTGCAGAAAGTAGGAGTTCGGGCCTGGGTCCAGGCTCATAGGTACTGAAATGATATGTAAAATGGGCACTTTCTATGCCTCAGGGCACAAGGACACAATGTGTGGTCAGATGAAAATGAATTTAACAAGATCTAATGTGACTTGGACTCATTGCTTACACCACTGTCTCTCATGTTTGTGCTGCTATTTTTGTCTTCTCTTTTTCTGTCTTCATTTTTATGCATGCTATCCACACAGAGATGAACAGAGAGGGTTTTAGATATAAGACAATTTACTTTTAAAGCCAAATTTATCTGAGTGATGTGGTTTGCACCTATTAACAAAACATGGGAGCAATTTTGAGAAATAACAACCAACTATAATAGTCCTCTGAAAACAGGCTCCAGGTATTAATGCAGATGGCCATTGGTATTCTGACAGTAATGTTGTAGCTTCGTGATGCTGAGGTGTGCTTAATCAGCATGTGGGACCTAATTATACCCCTTACATATGGAGACTGAAGAACACACTCACCTTGAGCTGCTATTTTAATGCTGAATAGAAAACTGACCTCACCGGCTACTGTGCAGTATATACAGCTGGAAAACAGCTACAGGAGCTGTGGCACCAAAATATACCTTCTTTATTCATGTATATGGTAACCATGTGTCCAACCTTATTAGGGATTGCACAGAGTCTTTACCAATTGTCTCCCTTCACCACAAAGGGAGACAGTGTCCCATAGGCAGTAGCATTTGGAACAAAAGCCCCTCTGTCAAATAAAAATTAGCTCACATTTTTTAAGAAAAAAAGTTGCTAAACCACAAAATTCCTTTGGCCATCTCTGCCATGCAAATTTGTGTTACTGAACTACATTCTGATATCACAGTGTAGATGTCTGAGGTAACAAGGAAAGTCCAAACTAGTACAAAGGACTTTGGTGTCTTTTTTGCATCTCTTCAAAAGGGAAAGCTTTAAGCCTAATTTTGAAAGTAGAGAAGGTATCTGTCTCTCTTTATACTTTTAAATAGGAATGAGAAGTAAGCCGGCAGTCTGAGAACACAGTGCTTGCTTGTGGTAATATGACACTAAGAGGTCTTTAAGATAAGATGGGACCTGAAGACCTTCTATGTATGGAGTGGGATTTTAAATTTAATCCTGGCTTTAACAGGGAACCACTGAAGAGAGGTCAATATGGCCAGGTTTTTCCTAGAAAGTTTCTTAATTATCTATAAAGCCCACATCGTTTCATTTGAAACTAAAAAGGCCCATGATTCCAACTGTGTAAACATTAAGTTATACATTCCTTTCCATTATATCTAAAGTCCTTTCTATGTCTTATGTAAAAACGTGTCTCCGAACACTACCGAGTTGTTCTCACAGACAGACCTTGTCTTTACTGACAGACCTTAGTGATGGTCTGTCAGTAATGACAATCTAATTTATAAATGCAGACAGTCTGGCAACACACTGGAATTAGAAGAGACTGCACTGATGAAAGCAACTCATCTGCTTCATAATTTTTTTCTCAATGTGAGGACAACCTGAATCACACAAATGTGAGGCACTAGAGATTGTTGCAAAAAATTTACTGTAAACTGCACTAAATTTACAGTATCTGATGTGTGTGTGATAGTTTCTGCTAGGAGTGCTTATTTATTTTATACAAGAGGGGGAGACATCCAATTCAATGCAGTTTCATTCAGTTCAATTTTATTTAACAACAGTTGCCTCAAGGGACTTCATATCATCATATCATGTATCATGTCTTGATGCATTCTCAATCATCCAGGAAAGTAAATCTCCAAAAGTTGATTCATCTTATCAAAGGTAAGGACACCAAGTTACCTTACTGGCACCGATGGATGGCTGAGAAGTGCAGCGCCAAAATTTTTACTGTGTCCTGTAAGTCTTTAGTCTCACCTCACATAGTGTGCTAAGCTTTGCAATAATACTGAAATTTTGTTGAAACAGAGGAGAACATAACTAAACTTGACATGGAACCTAACTGTGAATACATTTTTAAAATTATTTTATTGGAAACAATCATCTTAATAATAGGTTGCAGATGGTCAAATGAATAATGGTTGAGCGGGCTGAAATGTGGACATAGCGATTATCAAGTTGACCAGTAGGTCAGGTTCATCCTGAAGAGCGTGGTAGATGGAATCCTTGACATCCCTGGAGACGAAACCTACCCTCCAGCCTGGAGGCGAGCTGGTGGGACAGAGTGTCAGGTTTGATGTTCCGAGAAATTAAAGCACCCAAAGAACAGAGACCCATGGGCTTGGGAAGCATTGAGCCTCTTGGCAGTCCTCAGGTGGGTTAGATTCTTGATCAGTCCAAATTGTTCAGCTCCTGCTAAGAGGTGACGCCATTCTTCTAAAGCTAGCTTGACTGCCAACAACTTTTGGTCACCCACATCATAATTTCACTCTGCTGGAATGAGATGACATGAAAAGAAGGCACAAAGCTGTAGCTTATCTTAGGGCCCTGAAAACTCCTGAATCTGAGGCATTTACCTCTATAATGAATGGCTTGGTTGATTAGGGTGGATTAGCACAGGATCAGAAGTGAATAGGTGGTTGAGCTTGGAATCTTGGTGGAGGTGAAGTGGGTGACTGATGTGGCTACCTGGCTGTAATTTGAAGCAGTAGTAGAAATTGGCAAACCCGAGGAACCGCTGTAGTTGTTTCCTTGACGTGGAAGTGGGCCACTCACAATCTTTGCCAGATTGGTCTTGACCTGTCCTTCTGCCAGGAGAGAATTGAGACAGATGACTGAGGAAGAAGAAGGAGAGTGGAACTCACATTCCGGCTTTCCAGGAGACGTTGCAGTACAGAGAGGACATGGACTCTGTGGTCTTGTGGTGAATTGGCAAAAAATCTGAATGTTGCCTAGATAAACAAACACAAAGATATTTAGGAAATCTCTCAATACATCATTTACTGATGTGTCAAAGACTGCAGGGGCATCAGTTAGGGGCATAACAAGATACGCAAAACCTCCTAGCGGTGTGTTGAATGTGATCTTCTGTTCATCCCCCTTCTGAATGCAGACCAGATGGTATGCATTGCGTAAATGAACTTTAGTTAAAATGGTGGCCCCATGATTGGGTTCAAAGGTGGGGTTGCTTACGGGCAGTGGATACTTGTTTATTACAGTGATCTCATTCAAACCTCTATAGTGTATTCAGGGGTGGTGTGTCTTATCCTTCTTGGCAATACAGAAAAAACTTGCATCTTTTTTTTTTGCATTAGGAGAGGTCTTTATTAGAAACCTAGATTGAATGTTAGAGTGGAACGGAGGTTAGAAGAGGGTACAGTCTGATGAAGTTGTAACATTTCTCTTATTTTAGTCATTTTTGTTACTGTTTTCAGTTTTTAAAAAAACAAACAAACCTTGTGCTATAAAAAAGAAAGGCACTTGCTATAAATGTAGTGAATCTATCCATGTAACAATATTTACTTGTATATCAGTCAGTTTCAGCTCTGGTTACAAACATACATACATCACTGATTTATCCACTTCTAAAATATTCTAGAAAACAAGAAATTAAACAATTAAAGAAAAATATG